TGTTTATCTGCAGTTAGTTACACGAATTCAGATATGAGATGAAATCGGATAGGGATGAACGTGTTTAAAAGTTTTTAAGAGTTTAAGAGTTTTAAGAGTTTTTAAGAGTTTTAGCCAAATGCTTTATAATATAGTATATATATATATATATATATATATATATATATATATATATATATAAATTAGTGTTCCTAAACACAGGAGCATTTGTTAGACCTCGTCTTAAAGAAATCATGACCAAAGTACTTGGGGAACGTCCCAATCACAATCAAGGAATTGAACGAAACTTGAAGGGTTTTGCTTTTTCATACTTTTTTGAACCGTCCCACCGCTTAGTAATAACGAGATGAAGAATGTCTTTAATGTAATAAATGCTTTTATCCGATACATGCATCAATTGTATACCTCTCTACCTGGCACCTAGTTCCCCCACCACCCGTTATAGACACACATACATTGTCTGCGTCAGTTATGGCGAGACAACCACCACAACTGGATGAGGTAGGGGATGAGGACACAGAGACTGTCTGTGTCTCACATAACGATTAGATCTTTACGTATTAATATGTTTAAAACACTAATGTTTATTTTATGTTATTAATTTTTTATTATGGTTTTCAAATTTGTTTTAAAATGGTTTTCACAATATCGTATTAGGGTTTTCAAAATATTTCTCTAGTTAATTGAATATCAAATTATTGAAATATATTTTTAAAATGGCAAAAAAAGTAAATTTTACATACATCGACGATATGTTGTTGCTATAGGTAAAAAATAAAAATTCAGTTTCACCTCTTGTGTTAACATTGATATATATATTAATTTTAAATTTTTATGATATCTTCAAATTTATATTTTATTCAAAAATAAAATCATTATTGTTTTTTAAAAAACACAAAATCTATACTATCTATACTATATTATAAAACATTTGACAAAAACTCTTAAAAACAATTTTTTATGCACGAAATATTGTTTATTGATACATATTACTTGAAATTTAACATTACAAGTAAATTATGCATAAGTACAACTTATTAAAGCTCCATACTTGAATTCGTCTAACTAACTGCAGATAAACATAATCAAATATTGAATAAATATCTTATTTTAAATATAAAAAATCTAAAATATAATTATGATAATCATTGATATAATTAAGGAAATTACATCAAAACACAAGAACTTTTAAAAAAAAAAATTTATGATATTTTTAAATTTATATTTTATTTAAAAATAAAAATATTACCATTTTTTCAAAACCACATAAAACCAATGTTTACTTAAAATTCAAGATTATATGTAAATTTTGGAAACCCACGGATTTAATTCTCTCAATTTAAAAAATTATCTTAAATATAATTAACTTTCTAGTTTGACAAAAATTAGATTGCAACAACAATATATTATTCACTTTAATTTGATATATTTTTCAATTTTTAAACAGGTTTTCAAAATTTCAATCACGAATATTGACCGGTCAAAGCCGCAATTATTGATTAGTTAATTTGTTTATAACAAATGACATATATGTCCTTTTGGATGGTTTTTAAGAAAGTTTTATTTAAGATATTATCTAATGAAATGATTGACTCATAATTATTCTCTTATTCATTTAAATAGATATCATTCTCATTTGATCCTCTCTAATAATCTTTTTCCAGCTATTACTTCTGTATTGTATATTTGTATTTAATGACAGGATCTTTATATTTTGGTTTTTTGGTTTTTTTTTCTTGTACCAGCTAAATTTCCGACGGATTTCTGATGGAAAATCCGTCGGTAAATAATTAGATATAAGTTTTATTTAAAAAAATTCTGGCGGATTTTCCGGCGGAAAATCCGTCGGTAAATATTTTCCGTCCATTAAAAATAAAAAAATATTTTCATATTTTAAATTAGAAAAAAAATTTAAAATATAATTACCGAAGGAATTTTCGTCGGAAATCTGTCGGAAAAATGTTATTTTTGAAATAAAAACTGGTTATTATTTTGAAAGAAAATGGAAAAAATTTACCAACGGAATTTCCGTCAGTAAAGCTAATCTCATTTTATATTACTTCTAATTAACCCGGGCAATGAATAACATATTATAAAATTGCACGACGGATTTCCGATGGATTTTTTCGTCAGAAAATACAAAATCCTTCAGAAATTCCGTCGGAAAATGCATTTAGCGGCGGGGTTTTTCCGACGGCAAAATTCGTCGGAAAGTTGTTTTTCCGACGGATTTTGCCGTCGGAAAAACTCAGATTTTTTAGTAGTGTTAAGCAACCGAATAACAATTTAATTACTAATTTACCCGTTAGCTGAATGCAATGCAGATAACTTTCAAAATTAATTAACAGGGAAAATTTGAACTAGTAACAAATCTTTATTTATTTTTATGACATTGCATCGTACAAATTCCAAATCTCGTCTTGAGCGAATAATCGGCATTACATCTGTTGGAGATTGGCTATATATGATCCTGCAATGTTTTAGCAGTTTATGAAAATCAAGTATCCAGCAACGATTGCAAATTAAGAAGCATATATATGCAGTTGCTGAGTCTGATTATTCACGACTACCCTAAAATAAACCCCATCGCATGGTTGATGATCGATGTAATTAAAGGACCGGGAAACAAGTCTGCATGGTGATGCTGCAGGCYCCCCTTGGATTCCCGACTTCTCGTGCCAGTCTCATGTATCCTTTCTCTCCCCAGTCTTCTCCCCATGAGTTCTTGATTATCCAGTACTTGCATCCTTCAGGTGTTGTTCCGTATCCCACAATATTAATCGCATGTGGGTTCTGTTCCCCTACGCAGTCATCGCCGGTGTAAATTCCCTGCAGTTCGATATCATATCCTATCCTATTAATAATCATATGATGAAATAAAGAAACCTTGTAAAGGAAATATATATATATATATATATATACCTCTTTGTATCCATAGAAACCTTCGTAGACGAATAAGCAAGCCGATACAGGTTGTTCTGCAACTCTTTCCATCATAGCTGGCTCGTCATCAATGGGAATATCTTCAAAWCCTTGACAATGTACGACTCTATTTTGGAGCTGCAATTCGGAAAGAAAATGAATGATATATATAAGAGTTGGATTTGATTGATTAAGGTTGTCAGTAGGTACGTACCTTTGCACCGCAGCAAACAGTTTGTCCTGCAGGATCGTTGTAAGGGTAGCATTCCGATGTCGTCATACCTCCATGCTTGGCCACGTAATTCAATGCATACGCAGGTACCCCTCCGTTACATCCACCGTTCTTTTCAGTGTCACAGTCTATAATTTGTTGTTCCGACAATGAGATTAGGTTACCGGTTTTGAGACCGTGTGCTGATTCGAGTGCACCCATCGCTGCAAACGCCCAGCAACTTCCACATTGGGCTTGATTCTTGGGAGCAACAACTACGTTGTTGAATTGTCTCCAATCGACCTCGGCTGGTAAATCGTGGCGATCAGCATACTTGAGACGGCTGGAATTGCCCCTTGATGAAAGCATCCGGTGGTGSTCATCTAGCTTGGCGCCGGTATACGTGCGTACAATCTCKTCKSWWGTCAAATCAGMCAGCTTGTTCAGCTCCATAAGGTATGGCTTCTTGGCCTTGTTATGGTTGTCCACACGTTTCACGGTGTCCATGAAGATGATGAACCGTTTCTGTTTCTCATCATCGCTTTGCTCCGGCACCTTGTGGTGATTCCTCCACCTCTCGTACAA